ATGTGGTATGGATCTATTAACTAAACCATTTTATTTATTTTTTTGTACAACCGCATTCTTCGACGCAACAAGTAAAATATACTATTCACATATAAACAATAATAACAGTAGCATGAAAGCTTGAATATCTACCATCCAGTGCTGGTAGCGTACATCAATACTTTGAGCGAGATGGACTCCGTCCTAGGAGACCGATGTCAAGTGTTAAGCCAGAAACACACTTACCCGATGCTACGCCATGCGACGCTACCCGTCGCAAATTCAAACTCCGATTTTCCATAAGGTTGCATTACCCCCGTGCACGTCTACCGATGCCACGCAACGCTACCCTATACGCTCTGCGATTCCCACTGTCCAGATTTTCGTCGGGTAGCATCGAGTACAGTCGAAGACAAACGAACGGGACGCTCATATTTTTATTCAAACTACATGTATTATTGTCGTTATATTAATTACAAAAATTAATTAGTTTTTATTTAAAAAATTAATTTTAATGGTTTGGTAGAAAATTAGTCAAAACACCGGAATACAATTTTTTGATATAATGAATTTTACTTACAATTTATTGTATTCGCTTCGGCGGTACATATACTAAAATTGGAACAATTTATTACACGGTTTTGCTCATAACATTTAATTAACAATTTATTGCATAGTTTTGCTCGTAAAATTACACCATTTTGTAATGTCGGGTAGCATCAGAACTGGACACTCATATTTTTTGAAGTTTATTTCAAACGAAGTACATGTAATTTTGTCGTTATATTAATTACATGTTATTTTAATGTAAACCAAATTAAACGAGATGAAAAATGTATACGTTTTTATAAACATTGTTTAATTATGATGGTTAGGAGTAAGTTTATTTAAAACAATTAAGTTTAACAGACAATTTATTAGATGGTTGTGCTCGTAAAATTTAACTAACAATTTATTACATGGCTGTACAAGGTTTTGCTCAAAATAGTGCATTATGAACAAAAGATGCCTTTCGATTGTGATAGTGATTATTGTGATAAACACTGTGGACTGTACGCGACGTGTGCTTGCGTCGGATAGATGTGCACACCCCACCAAAACGTGGCAGGTAGCGTCGCATGGCGTAGCATCGGGTAAGTGTGTTCCCGGCTTTAAGGCTGTCGCGGGACCACCGTCGAAAGGGTTCGGATGATGGGGTAGTTTGGAATGGGATGTTTTGAAGAGGGATTGGGTTAGCTCGGTAAAAAGAGGGACATTTAGGTCGGTATGGATGGTATGATTGGAAACATAGAAATGGCGTTGACTATTGTTCTGAGGATTTTGGATTGAACGGATAGGATTCGATTGAGGTTGGAACGCTTAGCAGTCCCGTAAAGTTCAACTCCGTATGTTTGGACATACCAAATAGAGGCCAGGAGGGCTATGTAAAGTTTTATTTTGTTTGTTAGTGAGAATTTTGATCGTCTGTCGAGTAGTCGTAACTTAATTAACAACGTAATTAACACGTAAAGTAATTAACAAAATCAAAAGAGAAAGAAAGAAATTACAAAATTAATACTTTGGGTATGTCTTTAATTAAAATACTATTCGTAACGTGTGTAATAAATAAAAATTGAATTCGAGTAAAATTATATATTCGAGATCTTTGATGATTTGATATTTATTTTCGATTCATTTTCCGTACGAATTGGATGGAAACGATCCAGACAAACCCATCCATCAGAGTCCTCGCATAGAGCGTAGTAGCTGAAAACAAACGTGTTTTTGAAAAGTAACAACAAGACCATACGACAATGACAATCTTACTGTCGATTTTGACAGGTCAATTTGCAAACCTGACGTCGGAAATGAGTTACAATTCACGGCGATTGTTGTTAACTAGGCTATTGCTCTTGACGCCTCGTCTAAGTAAGTGGTAAATTCCAAAGTGGATGCTGTTAGTCTAACTGGTATTTTTATGCATTATTCCAATGTTGATCAAACCCATTGGATAAGAGCAGTGGATTTAACACTAAAATTTAACTCCTCTCATACTCCTTTCTAAACATTTCACCCCAAACGACGTCAAACAAATAATCCGCAATTTTTCAAAGAAAGAAATCCTCTGAATGAATTGATAACTGGGAACATCGTCCCCATCAAGGCGATTGTTTTTCTGCCAACCCTTTACAATGCAGTCCTCCTCAGAACAATTCAGCTCCCCATCTTTATGAAAGTCACTGTTACCATATGAACGACAAACCCCAACAGATCATCCAATTTCCTACCTTTTCATTAGATTTCTTCCCTCCTTGGAAAAGTACTCGAGAATTTTATTCTCAAAATGCAAATCAATTTAACACCCCTAAACCTTATGCCTGTCCATCAGTTCGGCTTCTGTCTACCAACTTCCATTCAGCATTCGATAAAAAAAAACTGGAAAAGGAAGGAGTAGGTAACCCCTTTCTGGGTGGATATCGATTCTTTTCTGTCGGGGAATACTAAGATTTGGGGATTATCGGCTCCTATCTATGATTCCGGTGTTCCCCAGGGATCTCATTATATGTAGTATATTGTGATATTTTTAAGTTATGTTGGATCAGTCATTAACAACTCCAGATTTTCACTTTTAGCTGACGACCTGAAAATCTTTCGCCCGACATCCTCATTTAAGCAATGTAGGAGGATCGAGACGCTTTCTGGTCTCGGTGCGGCAACATTAATCTTAAATTAAATGAAAAGAAGTGTAAGGTCATAATATTTTCGGAAAAAAAGGTCGCGAATAAGGTTGACTTATTTGTTTACAAATTTAACGGTAATCTCATTGAAGACGTCGGTTCCATCTCGGACCTTGGAGGTAATTTTAATAAGAACTGCGATTTTCGTGACCACTTTGAAACTTTTCAAAATAGGTATTTAAAAATTTGGGCTTCATTAGAAGAATACGGTAGATTTTAAAAATGTACTAGCCATCAAAATTATCTTCCAATCGCTTGTTCGTTGCTATTTAGATTATGCTAGTATTGTGTGGTTGCCCGGATGAAACAACCACACAATGTTGCTCTTGATTGAGAGAGTACAAAGAAGGGCATGTAAATATTTGCTTTTCAAAATACATGACTGTAGAGAGAACTCCCTTATACAGCAATACTGGATTTGCACTCTTTGGAAGATATTTAACAATAGGAGTGTGTGTTTGTTCTGTTGTTTCATAATTTGTTGAAGTCCTGAGAAGCGGTCAAGAATGTGGTTGTTTAAAAACAAACACCTTTTTCATTTTTTTCCCGACGTTTCGACCTTTATCCGGGTCATCTTCAGGGCATAAAATATGGTGCTATTCTTACGGTGTCATATTGTCACAACAATTTCACACACATATGACTCCCCAGAGATCTTGACCTGCATCAATATTAGAGTCCCCCAGCGGCAAATCCGCTCCCGTGAGCTATTCTACGTTTCCCAACATAGGACGAATCAGGTTCGGAATATTGTCTACATTGGATAGTTCGGCACATTAATCGGTATGGAGATGTCGCAGACCCTTTCTTAGACTTCGAAAAGAAGATTTTACTCGATTTAAAAGAGTGATTCACGGAGAGTTATTTATTTTTATTTGTTTATATATATTTATTTTTTTGTATTTACTTTTTATGTGTGGTGTTTGGTGACCGTTAGTTAATGATTATTTGGAGATCGTGAAATGAGTCTGGTGAGACGTAGGCTTTAGAAAAACATTTTCTTTATAATGCCGTTTCGATCTTTATTGAAATCATTTTCAGATCTCAAAGTGTTAGTTTTCTGTGTAGATGTGTCATTATTGGGTGTCGTGTTGAGAGTGCGCTTTTTACTTTTATGTTTCATTTTTTCCTTGGCCATAGATTTTATTGTTACCTATTGCAATTATTACCTAGGTGTAATCTACTCTTTTTATCTAACGCTAAATTTATAAAATCTTAATTATTATGCATGATTTTGAACTTTCGACCGTTCAATTTTGGGTCATATGACTCGTTTGAACTGGAATAAAATTAATTATGAATAACATGTTACAAAATGATTCCAACCTATATCGCATTTAGTTAGTCCAAAAACCTCCGTACAATATTAGACCGTTCGGAATAAAGCAATGATATAGATTTAGATGACAAACATTTTCTTACTTGACCTAAATTTTAGCTATGAACTAAGGTTTGAAACATTTCCTTGGGTGTACTGACTGCTACTTTTTTCCCGACGTTTCGACCTTTATCCGGGTCATCTTCAGGGCATAAAATATGGTGCTATTCTTACGGTGTCATATTGTCACAACAATTTCACACACATATGACTCCCCAGAGATCTTGACCTGCATCGACACCTATGAGAGTTGATAGGAATTTTGAAATCACAGTTGATATTATTGTGATTTTGGTTGTATACAACTTTTATATGATACAAACTATAATCATTTGCAAGTGGTGTACGAATTTTCACTCTCATGTATTCATCGACTCCTGATGGGCATCAAGATCATGGATTTAGTATTGTTTTTCTCTACTAGGTCATTTTTGTTGTTCTCTGAAAGGATGAAAAAATAGTAGATTGATTGACACTGCTCACTTCACCGGAATTGGGTTTTTCAGTGAAGATGGCATAAAGCCAAAACGCCTACTCAAGATTTGTAAACCAGGGTGAATATACGGAAGTAGGCATCTATTTCGATAAGTATATGATGAGATGACCCACTCACAGAAAACAACACCTCAGTTGTCAATGATATTTTCGTAATATAGTTTAATGTTAATTTTATTTATAACCATGTTTTTTGTTTTTCATTTCATAGCAGTAACAGGTCGATATGTACTATGTTAATAAATAGCGCCTAAGCAAAGGCGAGCCTTGAACTACAGTACCAATGATAAGACTATGGTACTAGTTGCAATGGACCAGGGATAGGGATAAATAAGGCGGCCCAATGCATTATGCACCTCATGCTGAATAGGTCCACTGCACTCCTCCAAATATAGACTACTGTACACTAGTATACAAAGACACCTGGTTACCTTGAATCTGCCTTCTTTCACTGGTGGTATGGCATACGGTATGCCGAGGAAACTGCTGACTTTCGCCTGCACTCGCTCAATTTGTCCGTCCCAAGGCCTGAACCCCGGGTTCGGGTTATCGTAGATGAACACCCTGAAACCTTGTACTTGGCCGTAGGAGGTTGTCACGACGACGTCACGCTCGGTATCCTGCCTGGGAGAATCCGCCCTTTGTTTCCCTTGCAAATCCGGCCGCCAGCCGCCAAGGACCCCGGGAAGTTCGATGCCAGCTTGCTGAAAAAGAAAACCAGATTGTTAATTCGAAAAAGTATGGAAGTTAAATTTGTAATATGGTCAGGCTGATTCGTTCAAGTCAAAACTTTTAAGACGCTGCAAGCCTTCTGGAGGTTTTACTATTTTGCAACTGCGTTTCTTTATCTCCCTTATTGTATCATTAAATATTATTCTCAAAATGTAGCAATTTATTAATACAAAACACAATTCAAGTGGAAAGTATTATTACGTCATAATAAATTACAAAACGTTCACGATTGCTGTTGGCTCTGGAATGTGAAAACTGCTGTCTTTGTTCACAAGTTTTCCAAGTGAAATATTAAAGACTTGAGATCGACACCGAAGAAACCTTCTCGAGTGCGAATGTGTTACAGACTCTCGATCTTTTCGGTAGTTTTGTCGAAAATCACTAACTCTTGCCTCGGAAAGTTGCCACACCTGATAAATAAGTCATCCACATCTCGATTTACTTTCAATTTTTCCGTAAAATTTTATCTAAGAAGCTTTGGGAAGGAAATCAATTTCCCTGATAGAAGGGACTGTCTCCGGTCACCTATCTCTATAAATATTTTTTGAAAATCACCGAGAAAACACTTTCGCCTCTTCACCTGATCTTGCCCGTTGTTTATATAGCCGTCATTTATGTCGCCTAAAATCGAAGCCTACTTTTCTAATTTCCGGCAACCCCTAAACAACTACCTACTTCTAGTAAAAGAACCATGTTTCTCTCTAGAAAAAAACTCCCGATCTAAAGCGAGTCCCTCCCGACACAAGCCAAATGACGACAATGAAACAGCATTCCTCAATTGACGAACAGGATAATCTCTAATTTAATCTAATCATTCATAGAGGTTTTTTAAATTATATATTGTATAGTTATTGTTCAATATATTGTACGTTGTGTTAACGCATACTATGTTTTGTATATATTGTATATATTTTGTTTAAAAAAAATAATTAGTATAAGTTACATGAAATTATTGTTGTTAAGTGTGAACTTTTTATGATCTGTACGTCGCGCATCTAAAAGGCCGTGAAGTGACGGTTTTTGTTGTTGGAGACTCGCTTGACGACGAGGTCCAGAGACACTCTTCTTCGCTACCGCACGTGTTCGAGGCAGTCCCGCAACCCGCAAGCTTAAAGACTTTGTGAACATGTACATCTGCAATTCATTCGCGACCGTTTTTTCGTACGTGTCGATTTCTCCGCATTTGTTTTGTGACTCGCCGCTCCACTCGCTGACCTCACCCGTGAGTTTTTTTCTCGCTTTAGACAATTTATGTTTTTTTCTCTCTCTTTGTTTTTATTAAAATTATAAACTTATTTTATATTTGTTTTAATACTTATACCATTGTATTATTATTATCGCATTGTTGAAAATTTGTGGCGCCTCTCTTTTGTTTGTATAAAATTTAAATTTAATTCCTTGATTCTTGTAAAATTATAATTAATTTCAAACATCGCCTTATTGTCATTTATTTAAATATATGCATTAATTGAATTGTAATTGACTTACACAGGTATTGTGGGCTGGTAAGTGTTAATTATAAGGATTGAATTTTCCATTTTTTTTCATTACATGTGAGATGATGATGGATTGCAATCTGGGAAAATTGATATTTAGCGGATTATAGAGAAATTTAGAGTTTCGGAGAGTGAGGGATTTTCCTCAATTGAGTTGGGTCGCCCTTGCTCGCACATTTAAACGAGTGTGTTTCAACTGTCTTTCGACGCATCATGTTTCCAAGATGTGTAAATCCAAGTCATCTTGTCATTAATGTGGTAAAAAACATCATACCCTGTTACATCTTGATAATCCAAACATTCATATTAAGTCTCAACCAACAGCAAAAATAGAAACAGATTACAAGAGAGATAACCATGACATGGAACAACAAACTATTACTAAGCGCACAGTCCTGACATCTGCTGTTTCCAACAATCAAAGCATTCTGCTCGGTACCGCACTAGCTTACATCGAAGATAGGGACGGAACATTTGAGCCAGTTCGCATCGTCATAGACTGTGGAGCTCAACGCTCTTTCATCACAGAAGATTTATTGCGACGTTTAAGGCTAAGATTACACCCAAACCCACATCGCATGTGTGGATTCGGTGATTCGCCTATTGAAGGAGGAAGATTTCAAGTAAAATGTCATCTGACATCACTTGCTGAGAAACGAGCATCTCATCTTGTCACAGAAGCGGTAGTCATCCCCCAGATCTCCCAAAACATGCCCGCGTATGCCGTTCCCGCGGACATCATGAATAAGTTTGAACACCTTACACTTGCCGATCCTTCCTTTTGGAAACCTGGACCTGTAGATTTCCTGTTAGGAGCTGATCTTTTTCCACAGATTCTCGGCGTACAACGAAATGATGACAGTCAAGTGTCTCCAACAGCCATCAGCACAATTTTTGGATGGGTAATTATGGGACCGATCTGGTGTGATAATCAGCCGATAGATGTTGCCCTCATGGCTAAAACAACCACAGCCGAAAAAATGTATGAGTTAACGAGAAATTTATGGGAAATCGAAGAAGTTACGAATGTATCTAGACAAGATCTATGGAACGTGAACCCGTGAGTTTTTTTCTCGCTTTAGACAATTTATGTTTTTTTCTCTCTCTTTGTTTTTATTAAAATTATAAACTTATTTTATATTTGTTTTAATACTTATACCATTGTATTATTATTATCGCATTGTTGAAAATTTGTCTAATCTAATGTATCAGGCGCCTCTCTTTTGTTTGTATAAAATTTAAATTTAATTCCTTGAATCTTGTAAAATTATAATTAATTTCAAACATCGCCTTATTGTCATTTATTTAAATATATGCATTAATTGAATTGTAATTGACTTACACAGGTATTGTGGGCTGGTAAGTGTTAATTATAAGGATTGAATTTTCCATTTTTTTTTCATTACATATGAGATGTTGATGGACTGCAATCTGGGAAAATTGATATTTAGCGGATTATAGAGAAATTTAGAGTTTCGGAGAGTGAGGGATTTTCCTCAATTGAGTTGGGTCGCCCTTGCTCGCACACGTTGAATACATTTTATTGCTGAAGCAACCAATGTATAACACTTCCAAACTGAAGTAAGCTTGTCTTACTTATTCTCTTCATAATCTCGTTCTTTTAGGGTATTTCAATAATGGGGTGGTATTGAATCCACAGGTGTTGCTTGAAAGCTGAGAATTAAGTTATTTACGTTTAATTGGACTGAACAGATCACGGTACGATTACGCACTTTCAATAGAGAAAAGCGCTTTTTATTACATTTTTCTATCGAAGTTAAGTTCTATTATCAACAGGTTGGTATCAAAATTTATTAAAAATTCAGTTGAAATGATAAAGTTACAAAATCGTTGTGCAGAACAGCACAACGGTTTAATATCGATCATATATCTTTTTGGAAGGAAAAAAACAGGCGCGCTATATAAAGAAGATAAATTTTCACACTCCAGTGCAAAGTAAGCCCTCACTCATATAATATTCGAGGTGTTCCATATATTCGCACGTAACAATAACAAAAAATTCAGGATATAAAAAGACCAGGAGGCGTTCTGGGAAATACATACAGTCAATTTAAAATATGTCTATTTTTGGAAGTTTTACTTAAGTAACGCTTGTCTGCAAAATAAGTGGTCTTAATAATTAAACACCACCTTACATAATCCAATACTTCAATAAATAATACTTCTAAACTACCTTTAAAATAGAAAACATATTATTTAAAATTCGCCTAATATCATTTATTTTTAATAAGTACGACAATTAAACTATTACTCAACCTTACTTTAACTTGGGAAATTTCACTTAATAAACATAGACTTAAAAAATATTTATTATTTTAAAATAAGCAGTCGTTAAAAATTTATTTTTTGAAGTTTTTCTTAAGTAACCGCTTACCTTCTAAACAATTAGTCTTAATTTTATTGTTAAACATAATCTTACACAATAGATAAAGCCTGCAATCTGCCTTTCAGATAAAGAAATTATTATTTAAAATTCGCTTAATTATACTTAAAGAATTTTTTTCTTGTCAATTTTACGAGGGTATTTTAACTACAAGGTTATATAAACTACTGACTGAATGAACCGTGAACTGAGGTCACGATAGCTCAAGTGGTAGAGCAGCGGCGTATCAAGACGAAGATCGTGGGTTCGAATCCCACTCGTGACATTGGCTTTTTTATCTCAACTAAAAACCTTAATTAATTGTAATATAATAATTGGTCAAGCGGACCACGTAATTAGTGAATTTAGTTATATGAACTCTTGAAAAAAAGCCCATGTTGGGTTCGTAAATTCAGGGCACCTGGATTCGAACCCAGGACCTTTACCTTACCATGATGAGTGCTATGTTGACGCCTTCGTTGCGGCAACCGATGCCTCGCTTGGAAAGCTAACATACAAAATTACGTATGTCTCAACCTTCGATTGTTCACAGCTGACCAGATTTAAGCTACAAACAATTATATCATATGAGGCTTTGAAGACGTAGGTAGTGCTTATAGCGTACCGTGTATGTCAGTGTCGATGAGGTCATGTTCAAATCTCTATGAATCCGCCTATTGCGAGCAAACCAACGAACAGCTACCATATTTCGTATTACTTTATTTTGGATATTATGTATTACGGCTTCTTTTGGCCCACCACCAAAGTTATATGAAAGTATACCATCCATCCAATATGTGATTATAAATCATTATTTTATTATGTATTGTTAGTCCAGAATTCCTTTCCAGTAAAGTTGACGGTATTTGAAATCAAGATCTTTACTTCTTTCCAATTTAATTTTTTATCTACTGCCATGACTAACTATTTAACTGAATTTTGGGAAGGAACTACTTTACCACTTAAGACGATTGGTTTGTAATTGATTTCCGGACGTTTTGTTACAAGCGAACAGGAGAGGGAAAAAACTGGGGTGCCCAGACTCGGGCAGAGGCGAGGGTGCCCTCGGCAAGGTTGAGCGAGATCTGGAAGA